AATACATATTGACATAAAAACTTTTGACATAAACTACCATTCAAAAGTTTGAGGTCGGTGAAGTATCTTTTGCTCAAACAAGCAACATTTTATTATGAAAATACAGGGGGGGGAAAAAATGAAACATTCTGAAATATTTTTACACATTAAAACAAATCTATTTTAATATGTTTGAAAATGTAATTTATTCCTGTGATAGCAAAGCTGAATTTTCAGTAGCCATTACTTTAGTCTTCAGTGTCACTGATTTATTCTTCATAAATTATTCTAATATGCTGCTCAAGAAACATTCTTATTATTATCAATATTTAAAAAAAGTTGAGTTGCTTAACATTTCTGTGGAAACTGTGGTACATTTTTGATTAATAGAAAGTTTAAAAAGAACAGCGTTTATCTGAAATAGAAATCTTAACATTATAAATGTCTTTACTGCCATTTTTCCTTTAATGCATCCTTGCTGAATAAAATGTATTTCTTTTCTTTTTTTTATAATCTTACTGACCCCAAACTTTTGAGCAGTAGTAACCCACTCCCCACCTCATAACATCGACAGTCTGACAGGCCCAAATTATAAAACGAGCCTTATGGTATGAAACGTCACTCAAATTCCTATTCTTGGTCACCAAACTTAATTTTCTAAATGTAAAAGAATACTTTTAAGACGTACCGCGACGTGCTTTCTCGACAAAATTCTCCGACGTTCTCGGCGGACTAGGTGAAAATGGCTGCCATGTTTAATCTACATGGGTACGAGCAGCTTTGAGAGACTCTTTCTCTGTGCGTTGTTCCAGCACGTTTTAATCTGCCCTCTGCAGCAGCCCAATCTGGGTTCCAGAGCGCTGCATCTTAGAACGGCCGCAATCCTCCGGGAAGGCCTGACAGGGGAGCCTTGGCTGGCAGGCTTGGTGGGGAAGGAAGAGGGGGGCACAGGGAATGCCAACCACACAAACAGAATTAATAACAGCGGGCGTCAGAGCGACGCCTTCTCTTTAGAAGTGAAGCGTGGCATGGAGCGGGTCCACAGTGAGCACCGGTTCCGGGCTACTGAGCCCAGGCCTTCTGATAAAGCTTGTGGCTAAGCCGGTACAATGGCAGAGCCTACGAATGAGCTCTTACATTAAGACAGATTCTTCCCCACAAAACTAGCAGGCAGGCTGCTGATAAGGAGTTGTCATTGGCAGACACACTGCCCACCGGGGAGAAACCCACATCCAAACCCACCCGCCTTTTCCTCCCATCACAGACCAGATGAATTACGCCATGATCTCCACACCAATAGGGGTCACTGCTTCGAGATATGGAAAGGTATAACGATTTGACTTGAAAAGAAAGTTAAAGAGTGGAAGAAAAGCATGCCTCTTAATATCATGATACCAGTCGCATCAACACCCAAAGAAAGCCATTAAAAAAGACCTCAGCTGCTGTCAAACTGTGCGCAATTACGTTTTTTTCCTGGTTCTGATGAAATACTTTTAGACTTGTTTAACTAATTGTTCATGCTGTGAAGTCAATGAAAACAAAAAAGCAAGAGCATAAAAATCAATTTTGTGGTTCATCTCCCATTATCTCAAAATCACACCCTCTAACAGTCAACACACACACACAAAATAAATACTACACTCTTCTCATAAACAGTCTAGAACTGAAACAAATGCTTTCTCAATTTCAGATTATTATTGTCATTTCTTAAAAAAGCTTGAATTAAAAAAATACAAAAATCACTAAAAGAATGTTTAATTAAACACATAATTAGGAAAACATTTGAAAAAAAAATTTCAGGCACTACAACAGAAAAGTGAATGGAAATATTTACTAAAAATAAATTAAATCTATTATTCTCAATGAACCATTATTTGAAAATGTGCAACAGATGCAATAGAGTGATTAGGTGCACAAAAAATTGAAAACAGCACACCAATCAAAGCACAAAATGAAAAACACAAATGTGGATGCATAAGAACACTGGGGGTTCTCGTTCCCTGATCTCTTCATTTGTGGCTCTGCAGCCCTATGGTAACTCACTTCAGCATTTTACAACAGCCCACTGACCAATGAAACTTCTGCGCCATTGCCAAAAGTCTAGGTGACAATAAAAAAGCCATTTAATGTTAAAAGCAGATGGTTCCAGAAATGGAGGAAAGTAAAAAGATGAGATCTGTACCGCTACATAAACACACACCAAAAAAAGATCAACAACAGCACATTACAGCTTCATTGCCTCTTTTCTTACCCTCTAACATGTAACACAGCTCCCCAAGAAAAAAACTAATATCACTGAAATCATACAACAGAAAATCTCAGCAGTGTTCTTTAAAGACAGAAAAATCCACAACTTCAAACCTCACTTCAGAAATCTACAAAATTACTAGAAAATTACATTTTACTTTATTTGTTATCTAGATGTCCCTGCAAAAACAACTCGCTGTTGTCATGTATCTATGTATGAAAATCCCTTGCTTCCCACAGTCCCTCAGTTGTTGAAATGCACAACTGAAAATTTACATTCAAAACGGCGAATAATTACCCAATTCCCTATCGAAACACTTGCTAAAGGATAACGTATTCTGCAGGAAGAGCTAAATGCATTCGACATTTCAACACATGAACCAGGTACAAACCCATCCACATACCCACGTACCCAAAAAGACCCTCGTGTCAGTGGGCAGAGGGGGGAATAATGCCAATAGATTTCATTCTCAGCGAGCTTCAGATTAGCATTACTCGAATGTTTTCTCCCTTTCGTAGAATAAAATGTCCAATTTGATTCGACTGACTGTAAACAACACTGAGAAAAACTGAAATAAGTGCCCTCACTGTCTCCCTTCCTGTCGTGTGCATTCATCCCCCTCTTAATGTCCTGCAAATTAAGGGGATTTATTAATGTGTAATTAAGTAATAATCATCGCTACATAATGCATGAAACACTCATGGGGACGGTGGAGATATGAAACAGGAATGCCACAGCCTAACTCAGTGCATAGACACACATTAAAAGGGGATTAATTGAGAGAAATAATATTTTGATAAGCGCAGCTCCCTCTCCCCCTCTGACGAACGCTCGCTGTCTTTTTCCTCTCGAAATAATCTCTCTCTCGCTCTTGTGCGCGCGAATAACACTGGCAATCACAGTTTCTAATGTAATGTGATGTGAGAGCATGACTTCCGTTACTGGAAAATAATCCCTGGTCTAACGTGACAATGGGCAACGCTTTTTTGAGGAACCCCCCTCTCTATGTGCCTGCATATGTTTTCTACAGCCACAACACCTGCAGATTTTAAGATATCAAAGCAGAAATTAATGACAAACAAGCTTAACCTCTGGAAGAGCGAGCCAATACACTAGACACCGGGACAGAAAAAAAAAAACATGAATGATTTTGTGCATACCACTCATATTGTTGGTGCCGTTCTAATCTCCGAGCATAGCAATCAAAGCTAAAGGTGCTGGGCTGAGATAGGGACAGAGCGAGCCTTGCTTACATGTTTAATTGGCCTCTGATTGACGTGCATCGCTGAGTCAGTACAATCACTGTTTACCCCCCAAACCTCTGTGCTGCAGCAGGCTAATGCATACTCGATAGAAAACTGCAATAGTATTTGTTGCAATACAACAAAACGTTTCATTTGCAGTTGCCTTGAAAAAAACAGAACAAGCTAAAAACATTATTAGTTAATGATTGGGGAGAAAAAAGATGATGCATATTTATTTGCATAATATTTCACTTCATGCATGTAAAAAATAAAAGCTGGTCAAAATAAAAAAAATATTATGTTATTGATTACAGGGTCAAAAAGACTGCTCTCTCTCATCTCTATCTCTCCTAAACAACTCAACGCCATTGTTTAGGACTGATCTGCACTCAGCAGTCTCTGTCAATGTTAAATATCTGTGACAATAACAGATACTTAACACGCTGTATTTCCAGTTCAACCGACATGAATATTATCCTCTTACACTCTATGTAAACTTACAACCATTTTCTTCTCTCTTGATGAACCTCTGCAGATTGCGGCTGTTAATTAAAACAAAAAACTGGTTATTATTTGGGGGAAGGGGTACTAATATGGGCCACATGGTCACCCGAAAGCCCATCTGGTTTCTATTGGGGTGAGGGTGCCAAGTGATATCTCGACCGGCAGCACAATATCTGCCGTACATTGCTGATGGACAAGACAAAATAGCAGAAGGCCTTAGTGCTCCTAAATTCACCTGCCTGTGAGTGTTGAGTCTTGTAGGAGGGGCGTGAATGAGATGAGACTGTGTGTGACTGATTCTGCCATGTCAAAGTCACAACCGGGAATAAATTCAAGACAATAAACAGCAAAGGACACCAAACTGAGATCTATAGAGAATCAAATTCCATTCACAATACTACTACAGACTGAGAGGGGGGTTTCTAAATTGAGTTGAAAAAACATCTCAGAATATTTAGGATTTCCACAAAGAGGACAAAATGGAAATACACTTATTTCAAGGTCTATTTTATGAGCAGTAGCAGTATTATTGATTAAAAATATATATATATTATTTTTACATTTAAAAAATTAAACAAACAAAAAAGTTAACATTTAATAATTTAACAAAACATGTATATAATAATACTTAGGAGTATAAAGTAATGTTTATTTACAAAAATAAATATAAATTAATAAAATTGCTTAAATACCATTTAAAATACTAATAATATGAATAAATAACCTAAAATAAACTCAAGCACCATTTCTAATCGTCCAGGTACAGCACCTTCCCTGTAAGAGATAACTTGTACTGCCAAACACAAGACCTGGTGGCACCTGGCATCAAAATGCAAGTGTTTCGTTTCTTAATTATCTTTCAATGTCAAAACGCCTCCTTAAAGTCTCTGAACATAATGTCACTACTGAAAGCAAACACATTAAATCGATAAATTTCACAATCCCCGCCACTTTTACCCATGAAATCTCATTGGTCATGTGAGTTGTTCCCTGTCGTATACCAACATAAAACGCTTAACGCTTACCTTTAACGGAGCGCGGTTTGGCCTGCTTGCGTCTAGACATCTCCGTGTTAACAACAATATTTTACTTTCTTTAACGGGTATCTTGTCCTCTCCGAGAAATATTGACAGGTCACGCGCTGATACTTGGGAGATTTCTTCACTTTGCCTGTTGCAATGCGGCAACTTCAGTCTCGCTAGTCCAGAAGCGTTCAAAGGAAGAGAGAGTAGGCCTACGGCAATGGAAACTGATATTCCAATGATTGAACTTCTCCAACCTGTAGATTTAACGAATAACTTGCGGCTTTTCCCGTGCTCGAGAAGCGAACGCTCTTTTGTTCCTCCGTAACGGCGGACCGGGCACGCGCGCTCAGAGTTTGAAGAAGCGGAGCGTGCCCAAATTACACCTGATCAGTGGCGAGAGGCGACAATACTTGCCGATAATGTGCAAAAGCCACTTCGACGGTGTTTCGGAATTGATTCGCAATGTTTTTCCTCCTTTTTGCAGTTGTCGCAACTGTCTCTTTTCGTTGTGATCCCGCCGAACCGCCCTCCTTCGCTGTTATTTTTCCGAAGGTGCCACTCTCAATGGCATTTTACGCAGCATTTTCACCTGAGCGGATTTTTCTTCTTCTTCTTCTTTATCGTACTAAAAGCCGTAAATATTTCTAGTCGCTAGCCTCTCTCTCCCTTTTTCTTTGTCCTGACTCTGGTCTTCCCTCCGCCTCCCGATCCGACTGCTGGCGGGGCTGCAGCGCAGACACACATAATAAAGCCAGGCTTGGCTGGAAATGTAGCCGTGTCCCAGCAGGAGGATGTGAGAGTAGGGTCCCGGCGGGGGAGCGCTCTGATCCCGCAGGGAGCTCCGCACAGCCTGGGTTGAGCAGACAGAGAGAGCCAACAGCACCAAACCATGGTCAGCCATGGAAACTACAGCTTAACTTGGAGCACGGATCGGGGCCAAAACACGGAGCTTCGAGGAAACTCTGCAGCGTGCAAGAAAAAAGACGGACTGGATTCGCTTTTTGCGCTCCTTGTACTGGTGCCATCGTCTCGGGTTCACTCCAGCGTTTAACTGACGATTGGATACGATGACATTTTGACTATTTGGGGAGTTTGTTTTGAACATTTATCATTTCTACGTCGCCTTTGCAACACGTTTATCTGCGTTTAAACGAATAAGATTGACGGGATAGTTCAGCTCAGCCAAAAATAAAAACAGTGTCATCATTTAACGTTGTTCCAAACCGGTTTGACTTTCTTTCTTCCTTCTGCTCAACACAAAAGGTGTTAGGCTGTATGTTAAGGTCTGACAGCCTCAGTCACCATTAACTTTCGTTGCATCTCTTTTTCCCCCCATACAATGAAAGTGAATGGTGACTGAGAAAAAGAAAGTTTTACAAAAACAACAACAGGGTGAGTAAACAGATCAGATTTGTAATGGAGTTAAAAAAAAAAAAGTGTTTAGCCTTTGCAACATCAAGTGCGTGCATTTTATTTTTGAAAAACATCTGCATATGCAAATAATGTTTTATATTATCAGATGTGTTGTTTTATTTTCATTGGTATTATGGGATATGTTTTAATTAACTTTTAACCCCTTTTCCTAGGATCCTTGTTGCATTCTTTTTGGCAGGATTAGGCCTTTTCGACAGTATTTTTAGTCCCCACAGCGTCTGTCTGGCGTCTGCGTGTACTGCCGAAGCGCAGTCGCAGAATGTGCAAATTTGTGCAAAAATCAACCTAAGAAATGGTCAAAATCACACGCAGCGCGCCGGAGCTGCTCAACCGTTGTCATGGATAACATGGTGGGCACCCTGTCTCGGTCAGTGGTATATCCTGCAGATTGAGCCAGGCACCCCGCGGAGCCACAGAGCGGCCTTTAAAATTGACCCCCTGCGGTGGACCGGGGCCCCTCTTGTCTCGTCTGAGCGCACGCCTGGAGACTGCATTTAAATTGGCTTCTGGTGTCCCAGAGAGAGGCCGCTGGCACGAAGGAGCGAAAGCTCACCGCAGTGGTCCCTTTGGATAAATTCAAAGGAGGAAAATAGCTCACATTACAAGCTCCTTAAGGGTCAAGGACAGCCGAGACATGAATGGTTTGAAAGAGTGGCATTGTGAAATCACATAGCATGCGATTACACCCTCTGTCATCTTTTTACGGATTTGCATTTTTCTTGTGCCACAATGAACAGTTCAGAATAAGACTTACAAGACATGAGGATGAAATTAATTAAGACACTGGAGAAAAAGAGGTGTGAACTGCAAATGCGGTGGTCCTGTTTGGAATAGACGCCGTTGCTATTTTAGGACGATTTTAATGAGTGGCAAATCATTTTTTGAGCTTGGATGACTGCATGCGATTTGAAAATTTTGAATGTTTAGAAGAGGAAGCAAATCTCTCATTGGACATTATAAGGACGGAGGCATTTGCAACACTTCATTTCACTGCTAACTGAATTGAAATGGCCTCCGTATTGGCTAGTATTTTCCTTCATGCAGCAGGGACGGTGGTAGATTGATGCCCTTACATTATTCATGCGACGATTATTCATAATTTAGCAATAGCTCAACAGCGTTTTGTCCTTTCTCTCATCCGTCTCCTTTCTCACCGTACCTAGGTATGCTGCTATTCTTATGCGACTATCATCCATTGGACAGTGTGGACCCAGAAAGCACCCTTAAACACTCCCCCATTGTACTGTCACAAGCCTGGAGAGTTCATGTTATATTTATGTTGCCTACAGTGTATTCTCTCTGTTCTGTTCTGTTCAGCTGAACTCACGCCAACTCCTCCAGGTCCCCCCTCCACAGACAATGTTACATCTCATTGGTTTTGCCCTAGATAGGCTATTTTTGTATGAAATAATTAGACATAACTGATTTAAATACTGCAAAGCCAACACTCTTTTGTCTCGTTAACAAAGTACAGGAGAGGCGCACGCTCACGGTGTCACTTCTGTCAATCCGTACAAGGAGGTTGAAAATACAAATGCTTTTGTAGCTAATGGATCTGAAGCAGAGCCCAAAAAAATGTGTCATTTTATTAGCTTCCTTCGATTCGGGTTTTACTTTCGGGACCGAGCTGCGGTGACCTGACCTGATAGAATCTATTATGAAAGCAAAAAATGTCAGGAAAGCATTGCCAGAAGCTTTTAATTGTCTCAACGTGTACATCAGCAAAATATAGGATTGCTAAAATATGCTGCCTAATTGTCCATATAAGGACAGCGCGGCACTTAAAACAGCACGTTTTGTTTGTTACAGTGACCCCGGACCCAGACAGCCGTGCTGATGCCGAGTGCACATGGGCACACGACTGAGAGGTGGAGAGCAGAAACTCAGATTGGGGCTGACCGCTCGGCTGCACTTTAATGTACCCTCTACTTCATCAGTCCTGATTAGCTACCATAAAAATCCAGATTGAACATTACATTTTTACTGCTGATTGTCTTCCAAACACTCTCAGGTGTTGGCGTGTTAAATGCCAGGGTGTGCATCTGTCCTCGCATCCCATTAGCTTGCTGCAGTGAGACGTCTGACTTGAAAAAGGGGGACCCTCTTCAGAAACGAAAGCAATGCAGAACAAATTTCAGGCTTTTAGGCTTAACGTGTCTTGTGCCAAAACCTCAATAACAAGCCCCCCTCCAGCCCCCGTTTCCCTGGCTCTTGCCCCAGACTTACACAAAGAAACACCAGCTTTATGGACTTAGGGCATTAAAGCATAAAAAACAGCGGACGGAGAACAGGTTCGGAACACATGGCGGCAAACGCGGGGCCCGATCATGTCAGATCGCACAGGCTATATGCTTTAACGCTCCAATTCTTAGGTACACGGCCGTGTTTTCAAAAGGGCACATGAAAGGGCTTAGCGAGAGAGAGAGATGAGCAACGGCGGCAGGGAGGCCGGCGCTCCAGCAAAAACACTTTTCTGATGAGCTGCAACAATGCACTCACTCCCACGACATCAGCTCTCTGTTGGGAGTCTCCTCCTAATTTCCTCCATCCATAATAAAAAGAGCTACATTAAACAGTGCCATTAGTGCCAGCAATTTGTTTTATTCTCCACAGAAAGAGAAATGTTATCTGTGGCGGACAAACTTAACCCAATTAAAGCTCATTGTGTATGGGGGCCTTGCTGGGTCTTCAGCTGATGCCTAGGAACGAGGGCAGAGGAAGCCAACTTTGGGGAGGGAGAGGCGAAAAAAGAGAACGGTTGGAACACGTCTGGAGAATTAGGGAATGTAGGAGAGAGACAAATGTGCTTTCAGGAAAAAAGACGGGAAGAGAAATTATGTTTTCGTACGCTTTCCCCCACATCAAATCCCTCCCAAGATGGTTTGATAGAGGAATACTGCGCAAAATGTACACTCAAAACAAAAACGCACAGATAATTCGGCACTTAAACAAATAGCCGAAGGATTAGAGTGAAGGTAAAACCTTTCCATCAAATTAAAAAAAGGGAGGAACTGCGTACAAAGCCACACGTTCTGAGACTCTCGCTCATACCCTCACATTTTTGCTGTTAATTGTTGTGATAACACCTCTCGATTACAGGGGTTTAATTATCAACATGTTTGGCTGTTAGACCGAGTACCTGGCACAGATCCTGGTGAAGGGCTCAAGGTTTCTAATGAAGATCTCACTCACAGCAGCATACAGGAGCTCAGTGTGGTGCTGTCCTAACAAAGAAGCACATCGCGTTTAAAGACGACCTGGGTATCTGTGAATTCTAACACAATAATGCCAAGAATATTCATAGTGATACATTTTGATTGATATCCAGTTGTGCTGGAATGGCAAGTGTGTGTCTCTGTGGGGAAAAAAGTGATTCTGTGTGATTGCAGAATTGTAACAGTAACTGAATCACATGTCGTGGGACACAAATGAGGCATGCTTTTGCTTCCATAACAGCGAAAGCTGGTTTCACTCCGTTTGACTGGTAATCCTTCCGTCTCCTATTGCATTTATCAGCTTTAGTGGAGCCGTTTTTTGCTCACTTACCCAAAAAAGGCCCAATCAACACCTCCCAGCTGGTGAAATTAAGCAGAACCGGGCCTCCATTACTTTGAAACGTGATGGATACTTCACAGCTGCGGTCGAGTGTCTGTGATCAGAGAGTGGAGAGACAAACAGCTGTAAAACATGCCCTACTAAAGACATACACACATTTGTTGACAGTGTTTGCCATTAGGATTTACATGCAGTGTATACTGTATACACACATGACTGTGCAGATTCATCCACAACTAGTTTTGTTCTCACGCAAGGCCTAAGAAACATTTATGTGAAATCTTAGCAATTTGAAGGAGACTGAGGACAAGATGCAGTCCATCTATTTTGTGAGAGTTGCTTTGAAAAGTGACAATAAAACGTTGTGTGATATTAAAATATACCTTTTAAAACAAGGGCATTCATTCTCTTGATTTTTTTTTTTCTCACTTGAGCAGCATTTACTGTTCTAGCGTGATTTATGCCTTTAAATTATCAAGTCTTATTTCTATATTTGGTTTGTAATTTACATTTATCTATATTTGTCCTCAAACACAAACATTATGTCGTCTGAAAGCAATATTATCTTTCCCAAATTGGAGGATGTGCGCAATCTAACACTTCACAAATACAGATTCCTATTATTATGAAATTGCACTAGGAACAGTAGCAAGCCTTCGATTTATCTCCCAATGGTTAATTTGCGTGAGAAAATTATATTTACTGTTATTGAGGGGAAATACATTCACGCTAGCAATGTGTTCCAGAGAACGAAAACAATTTGTAGGGTTCATTCTGTATTTAAATCGTATTAAATGCCGCATTTCAGTGTTTTCTCTTTTCAAATGAAACATTCAAATAAAATATAACCAAATTTAATCTGAGAAGAAAATGTCTGTAATAGAAAAGCAATGGATGTTTAGAGGTTTGATAAGCAGAAGGACCATAAATGAAACATTGAACTGCTATGTTGAACGTATGTTCCGTAGGTCTTCAGCGCTATCTAGTGGTTAAAATGAGCTCACACTCAGATTAGCGTCGTGTCTCGTAGATTATATAGTGTTTAATTTTTACCTCTGTGGTGATTAAACAGTCTAACATATTGCAAAAACACAAAATGTTAAACATTTATATTTAATTGTAACATTATCAAGACCTCCCCTTATTTAAAATGACAGTTCATCTAGAAATGAA